GCAGACCTCAGATTCCAGTGGACAGCTGCCACACACCACGCAGGGACACACACACACCATTAAGGTCTCAATACACTTTCACAGACAAGAATACTTTTTATATTTTTACTCCTGGTTTTCAGAGATAAATGTTGTTTTCTTTACTCAACTATGAACAGCCAGTATAACTTCTCAGATTCAGATTCTACATGAAACATTGTGACGATTAAAAAAACAATGGTGTATAGATCAAATTAGGTTCAGCTTGACCAACAAAGATCGAAGGTAACACTTGTTTAGTATTAGGTCATTATTTCCATGTAATACTTCATATAGGGAAATGATTGTANNTATGGAGCTCAAATGCTTTTTCTCTTGTGGGTTTATCACAAGGTGAGTTCCTTTTTTTATTTCCTGCTTTTTAAACACATGTGCTCTCCAGTACAGGTTAGCTCTGAGTGTTAGCGAGGCTTGCTAATGTAAACAAAGACGAGATTACGTCCAAAACACGCCAGGCATTGTTTCTGATAGCAACTTTCTGTGGGTCCGCCGCCGATTTGACGTCATATCGGCAGCATATCTTTATCTGCTCGTTGTACCCCCGTTTTTTAAAAGATTTGGGTACGGAGGAAAAGAGAAAGGGTTTTATTTTCTGACGCTGCGTGAGTTCCCCGACACAACGGGGACACATATTTATGAATAAAAGACATAAAAAAGTGCATTTTGCATGATAGGTCCCCTTTAATATACACTTGAAGCACCATAAAATGCATGTACAGTACATACAGTTGCTCACCTGCTAGCAATGTATGACATTTTTGTCTTATGCATGCTTCTGTAACAACATCCAAATAAGATTTACTCATATTTCATCCGATATCCTGCCAACTTATTTAGCTTATTAAGCAGTTTAAGCTCAAAGCACTTCAAATAATGAAAATACTGTATACATGAGATATAAATTATCCTCAGAAAACCCTCTGCTCTAGTTGTCAAGAACATTCCTGTTCCTCATAAAGCATTTTCAGCTCTTGTACCCTCATGCATTTCTGCTGAGCATGCAAGTGCTGTCAGATTTAGTGTGAGTTTTCACTGCTTAGAGCAGGGGGTGGACATGGGAGTGGGTGACAGTGCAGACACTGACATGCCAAACTGGAAGACCCGTGTGTCGTCATACCAAATGCATGCGTCACCATAGGATGGTAGTGTATTTCACAATCCGACAGCTTTTACTGAGTGGGAGCACTGAGGATAGATTCCCTTGCTTCTACTTGAATAATGTAGAAGCAAGTGAATCTGTCATTATGCCAAAGGTTCTTCCCATTTTTTATCATAAGTTCGAGTTAAAGTGCTTTTCTTACTGAACACAACATATGGATACGCAATGGATAGCATTTGACTATATAGGCACCTTTATTTATTTATTATCTGTTTGTCTTCATCTGGTGCTCCGAGGTTGGTTGTTTTAGGTAAGCCATCACTGCAGATATCACATACACATTTCTGTGGTTTAAAACAAACAAGAAACTTTTTCCCGACACAACCACAATAATTGGCTGGCATTGTTATTTGTCCCTCTTCTGCCTGCACACACTATTTCACAGTTAGTCGCCCAGGAGTGACAGACAACACTTGACATGGTTTAATATTATGATAAGTTAACAGAATGATCATTGGGTATGGATGAATGATGTTATTAACAAAGTACAGCTTGTACAGAAGAAGTGACTAATTCTGTTCATTAACTGATGCCTCTCATTATATTGTATTGAAATTACATTTGCAGGAAGAGAGATATTTAAAAGCAATACATGAGAGTAAAAAGGGTTCATAGCTTCATTATGATAGCCCCCTTCTCTTTTCATGTTTATTGTCCATGCCCTCAGGTAGAATTTGCTATTCAGAATCAGAATCAAAAACAAGTTTATTGCCGCAATAAACTTGTTTTTGATTCTGATTCTGAATAGCAAATTCTACCTGAGGGCATGGACAATAAACATGAAAAGAGAAGGGGGCTATCATAATGAAGCTNGCGAAAAAAAAATCAGGGAGGAGAATCAAAAAAGCTAAAGAAAGACTTACAGCATTAAAAATCACGTCTATTTCGAGAAAGATGACCCCTTTTGTTGGCCCTGTCAGCTCCTTGCTTTTCAAGGCGTAGGCTTTGCGTTCTCCATTTTGGATCTGTGGGAGAGGGACATGACAGGCGTCTGTCTGGCAATACCCGGCTGAATCGGCTCCCCGGGCCACCTTTGAACCTCAGCTGCTGGCGCTGACAGGGAACCCAAAACAACTGTGGCAACTCTGACAAGTACCTGTTCATTACCCACTGCAGCTCGGCTCTGTCAAACAGAAATTAACTATCCTGGGGAATCATACTGTACAGCAGAGCATGGATATATTAGACACACAGTACTTTTTACAGGCTATATCTTTTTTTTCAACTATAAGACACACTTGTCTGTTTTTTTTTTATCTATAAATCGAGTCGTTCCATCTCTCTATCAGTGTCATTTTCATATCATCTCTCATCCCCTCACTTTCTTTTTTCTCACCTATCAATCTCTTCTTTTTTTCTTAGGCTCTCTTCTATTTTTCTCCATCTTGTCATCTCTTTTTTCTTTGTGAAATAATAACAGCCTCATCTGTGGAGTTGCAAAAATAACCCCTGCTTTTTTTATCTTCAACCGTGTGTTTTCGTTCTTTCCGTTGCTCTAGGTTCTCTATATTATCCCCAAAGGAAAAGACGTAGAAACACACGCAGAAATCTGTCTTTGACTCACATTTAGTAAAGGAATAACCACTTTCCCCAGGAAGTCGGCACTTCTATCTCGGTCCTCGTCGTAAACAGTGACCTCAAGTACCGAGTGGATGTCCTTCACGTTACTGCGGCACACAGAAACACAACATCGATGACACATATACTGAGATATGGGTTACAATCTGAACACTATGAAAGCTTGTTGTCTCGGATAAGCTTCCTTAAATGATTAACACTCCCAACGACATTTTTTTACATATGCGTATCCTGCAATACATTTCCATAAATGTTTAAAAATCACTATTGACATGCATTATGGTATATTGCACTACAGTACTGCAATAACTAAGGAGAAGTAGAGAGTGACATGTTATCTTTTTTAAAACTAGGCGATCAAGAAGAAAGCTGGTGTTATGTACAGGAAAGGAGGCTAAAAGAGAGGATGACTGAATTAACCTGTCCTGTGATTTCACAAGTTTCTTCTTAATATAATGGTCTCATACATGTAAGAAATGATGCAAAGAGAGATCTGCATTAACATTTAATTATAGCTTGAGTGTAACTATATTTTTTTAATATTTTTGGAATACGTAAACATTTGACAAGCCTGTTTTTTATCTTATATTAATGTCTTCCTAGATGTTTTTATGAGAAAGGCTTTCCGCATTGTTAACTGTGATCAATATTTTTTTTAATGCTCAAATTTAACTGGATAAATTTTTTTTAAACACAAAAACAAAATTGTATTGCTGTGATTTAAAAACCTTTTTTTTTTGTGAGACTGTTGCTTTGACTTTACCAGAGTTTATTACAAATATATATGTTTGTTTTTATTTGATGTCATCCCTGCAGTGATTTCAATGTGTGTGCGAGACATGTGAGTTTTGTAAAAGCTACTCACAAAGTGAAGACTTTGTTCCACTCTGGGTTGAGGTTTTTGTAGACAGTGTGTGTCTGCAGCCGATCGTTACTCAGCTCCACCACACAGAAAGGGTCACTCTTACCTTCAGAGCAAAAAGAAAAAACATGAGAATGACCTTCGTGTTGAAAAGAGATACATACATTAAGAAGATTCTACACTTTAGTTAGCATAGAAAAACCTCTAAGTAATTCCAACAGCTTTTGTCTATCTCCAATCCCTCATTTTATTAAGACAGATAATACACAGCATCTTCCCCTTCTACCACGCGACAGCTCCAATACCCTGGACTTATCAGAGCTGTAATAATAATGATTATTTCATGTTTAGCCCCGATGCCATATTATAAAACAGTATATCAGTGGAACAGCTGCGAGCCGTTTCTATCAAAACCCTGGGAACATGGACAACTAGAAGATAAGCTGCAGGACAACTATGCCCTGGGCAGTCACAAGGAGGGGGCGGGAGAGTCAGAAGAGAGAGATTTTGAATGGATGGTGCAGAGGACACAGACTGCGATGTGGCTCTGAAGGCCAGAGAAGTTCAAAGTAGAAGATAAAGAAAGCCGAGCAGGGGTGTGAGAAACATCGCTGCTCCATGATTAGCGAGTCCGAGCCAGCGGCAACAACGCAGGGAAGAAATGAATGAAAGCAAGAACAACATTTGAGAATTAAATGAGGAAACATTTTTTTTCTTCCTCATCATTTTGGCTTTGTTATATTGACAGCCTTGTAAATTGATCAAAACAGTACGAAAAGTATTTTGAATATTAAAATGTATCCCTTGTGTTTATTATAGGGAAATCACTGCTGCATGCATTGTTACACACTGGCAGCAATACTAGTTTCATTAATATAACATAAGTGACATTTTATAGTAATAATAACAAAACATCATATATCCAAATGTAGATTTATTGTACAGAATAATTTCATTTTAAAACTCAAGGATCACATATGAAATCATTTGAGTGGCCTGTTGCTGCCAAAAAGATTAAACTTTAGTACACTACGTGATAACTTTTAAGACCCTCAGCTGTTATAAAACATTGATATGATATATGGTTCACTATAAATCATATTCATTAATGCTAATTTATTCCAACAAAACTTTCAATTCAGAATTGACTATAGTTATGTAACCGGGTAGAGAGAGACCGAGAGGAGAAATAAACATAATCACAGTTATTTCCTCCTCCTGAGAATAGCCTACTGTACTATAATAATCAAACCAGTAATGTCCTATATATTCTCCATTTGTTCACTAACATCTCACATCTCAATTTCTTTGTACGCAAAAAGGAGAGAGACCAGCTCCCCGCGCCTGCAAGCCCACCTCCCTTCGATTGGCTGAAAACGAACTAAAAACAACAAAACTCTTAATTCTGGCTTTGATCATTTTCTTTTATTAAAACTGTTGGGAGCCGTTGCGCTGTTTGTTCAAGATTATCACTTGAAGAGACTGGGTCAGGAAGTAAAAAGAAAAACATGTCCCACACGTATTCCCGTAGAAAAAAGAGAGAGTATTTAAATATAATAAATGAGAAAATGTTGCATAATAGGACTCAATAAAGTTGGGATTGAGTTCAAAGCCCCCTGCCACATTTCAGCTTGTGCCTCCGTCTGTTTGAGTGTGTGAGTGTGCAACATGGGAACCGTGTGTGTGTGTGTGTGTGTGTGTGTGTGTGGGCCTCTGCGTGTGGGTGTGCGTGCGTGTGTGTGTGTCATTGATTGGTGTGATTTTCTTCAAATGTTGTGACAAGGGCAGGACATTTATTGGGTGTGCAAAGTAAATGTCAACGTGATCAATGCTGAGCCGTAGGTGTTGCCTTTCATATCTGTTTGTGGGGCTTTATTGATGTGGAGTGTTTGAAGTGGATATTGACAGCTATGACTCCTACGATAGAAAACAACGTATATTAAAATTGACAAAAGAAAATGGACTCAAGTAACTACTTTTAAATGCATCTCCATGGACATATTTTATTATCAATATAAATTGTTATTGCTTTGGTATATATAAATGCCTCCCTGCACCCGTCACGGATACACCGAAATGTATTTTAAAATGAAGCATTTTGGCTTTCTTTTAATGTTTATTACAAAAGTGAATATTTGAAATCCTCCTTAATCCTCCCGGAGCATCCATAGCATAAACGATTATGATGTTGTCCCCACAAATCAAGTCTGATTAAATTTAAATGCAATCATCTAAATTAGGAGATGGAAATTATTTCTGCAGAACCCGGTCCCTCCCCCATTTTCTCTCTAATATTCTGTTTTTAATGACATGGCAGGCTGTGTTGCCGCAGAGAGCCAGTTGTCATTGGTGATGAACTTTCACCTTATTGGCCGCCAGCACCAGAGGCGGCTGTCTTAACCAATTACACGCTCAGGTTTGAGCGCCACTCAGAGATCGCCCAGGTAATGTCCGAGCAAAGCTCCTCCCCCCTCTGGGTCCCGTCTCGGTGCCGCTGGCAGAGAGTTTGCAGCGAGCAGCGGGCTCAAACTAATTTCAGAGGCCCTGAGATAAGTGTGGAGGATGAAAACAGTGCAGGGACGAGGGAGCGCTGTAATTGCCTCGCAGGAAGCTTAGAGTTAGTGAGGAGTTTGCGGCTGGAGAGGGAACGCTCTCATGCTCCTCCACAATCACAATGAATTATGATTTAGACTTTAAAATGTGAATCAATGGCATTTTTTCTAGCATTTACTCTACTTTTCATATAACTTTTAAAAGGCTAGACAAGATAAATACAGTATTCCTTTGTGTGTCAAGTGCTGCCGTGGAAAATATACACTTTGCTGGGAGATTTTGTGTTATTGTTGAGCGTAAAAATAATGTCTACATTTCCTATGGTGTAGCTGCTGGAAGTGCATGTGTGTGTGTGTGTGTGTGTGTGTGTGTGTGTGTGTGTGTGTGTGTGTGTGTGTGTGTGTGTGTGTGTGTGTGTGTGTGTGTGTGTGTGTGTGTGTGACTATTGAAATGTTCTAACTGTATAGCATCCACTCAGAGGGACAAGAGCTTGCAGACAAAAGGGATTGTTGGTTTTAGAGACTATTTTCAGTTATCCTACTCGGGCTGGAGAGGAGCTACTCCACAAAAACACTTCAATTAGAGAGAGAGATGGCTACAGAGAGAGGAGGAGGAGGAGGGGAAGAGACGGGTGAGGAGACAGGCAGCGTGAATGGGAGAGAGATGGTGAACTCTTTCTCTCTCGCTGACCTCCCCTCTCTGTCTGTCTGTTTGTCTGTCCGTCTGTTTCTCTCTCACCTTGCTCCCGACCCTCTCTTGGTCTCGGCTGTTAAAATAGGGTGTTCATGTGGTGAGGGCTCTTATGTGGCTCTTACAGAGCTATTGTTTCTGCCAGTGACTCACAAACACACACACACACGCACACACGCACACACAGCGTCAGGCTCAAAACAGGAATAAGCCCTCTAGAAACAACCCTGTCATTTTTCTGTATCATTTCACCTACTGTATCTATCTTTGTAAGACTGGCTGAAAGAAAACGTTTTCTAAGGAACAAAATACTTTTTTTTCCCTTGCTTGCCAGAATGTATGAATTCAAATAAGGTTAAACATTGGACAGTCTACATTTGAGATCTGTTTGGCTATAACACAAAAGTAACGTGTTAAACCCACATGCGAAACCAAGCCCATGTTTTGTCTTGCTTTTTTGAGAATATACTGTATACAGAGTCCCTTGTGGAAACATCTTTTTTTATTATGAAAAAAAATAAAAGTGAAACCCAAGTATTTATTTGGCGACATATGGATGGCACATACTTAAATATACGTATATATGTCAAAAATACATGTTTCCTTGTAAGTTCACATTTTCACATTTTAAGAAAAAACATAGGTAAACTTTGTCAGTCAAATGTTCAAAACATGTTTGTTGTGGATATTCAAATCTGAATTTTACACTTATTCAAAATGTTCAGTGTTGGTGTAGTTTCAATGAAACATTGTAGCCCTGGTTGACACTAAAGGATATGCTGCACTGTAACTGTGTAGCAAGCTTGTAGCGCTAATTTCAAATCACCACGGGCTGTAGAGGCTGCTCTGAAATCAATCATGTTTTCAATGAGCACGTCTAACCGCAAGAGACAAAGTGAAAGGCAAACAAACAGCCACTAGACATTATATTTCCAGTTTTACTTTTTTTGTTTTTTTTGGGAAGGATCCATAAAGCTTAGACTGAATGATGAGCTCTACAACGAGGTCACGGAGCAAATTTCAGCTTGGAGTGAAATACAAGAGCCAGAGAACCATTAGCCCTGCACTCCGGCTGCTCCGGTCGCTCCACGCAATAACCCAAATCAACCAGCTCCACTCTGTATTGGCTAATGGGACTGTGGCTGTTTCAAATGGAGAGAAAACTCTAGCATCACTCTCTCTCTCTCTCACACACACACACAGAGACACACACATTTCCTTCTCTCTCTACTAGATAATACAGAGTGAAAAACTAGGCCTGTCCACTGTAGACCTAATTAAAAGTAAGAATTAATGGAGAATGGAGGATTCAGAGAGAGCAAGCAGAGAAAGAGCGGGAGGAGGGAGGAGGAGGGGGAGGGGGAGAGATTTGTTGGTTCAAATATGTACTTTTTCTCTATTATTCAAATGAGCAGCCTGCATCTTTTCTAAAAATGCAGAGACAAATTTAGAGTCCTGCAAAAGTAGAGTTTATCTCTCTCTGAGGATCCTCGCAGAGCATCATCCCTTACACCAAAATTACACCCTGACTTTATCTTTTGCTAGATTTATGGCAGATCGCTGGTGGAGGAAAACATGCCACAGAAATTGTTCAATGTCTTAATGCAAAACTCAAGCCGAAGACAGAGGCCTTTTTTCACATTATCTTTAAGAGTATGAACACATGACAACGAATCCAAGAGTGAAACATGAAGAGACTAACTTTAAATAACAGAAGTGCAGAGGTCTGGACTTAAGGTCATTGTCTTACCTGTGACATCTGCTGCCATCAGTCCCTCAGCCCTGATGACCTTTACCTGCACCACACCGACATCTTTCAGGCTGTTGAATGACCTCCACAGGCTCTGAAACATCATAGGGACAGGGGTCAGAGGTCAAAGAGGATGCCAAATTAGCATTGAAGAGAATGGCAGGTCAATAGCCTGACATTTCATTAAGATAGGAAAGGGTAGAGTATGTCCTTTAACAGTCCTTATGTGGAAATGTAGAGCTGGCATTTATAGGCGAGCCTAACAGAGGACAAATGGCCAGATTTCAATTTCACGGAATAGCTGTGCTTGACTGTTTGAAATGTTCCCTAACTCTGTACTTTTTAGATTAAATGAAACTTGATGAGAGAACACAACAATATATATTGTTAAAAGTGACTGCTAATCCACGCTGTACACAAATAGGGCTCATTGTGAACAACAGGCAAGTTTAACATGTTAAGTTGAACAAATTCACCGAAAATATTCAAACAGAATCTCTTCAGCGTTATGCACACTGTCAGTCTGGGTGCGGGCTGGTGTTTTCTTATCTAATCACTCCATGAATTTCTTTCTCAATGTGTGTAAGAAACAAGAGGTGTTGGGAGAGTGTGTGAATAGCAGCACTCGTATCAACAGAAGAAAGTGGAATATATGAAGTATAAAATAGTACATTTGTTACAAAAGTCTGTACATGTGAAATATATAACAACATAGAAAAGTGAAGTAATGTGATATACATTGGTGCATATACAGTATAATGTGATATGATGTATTTGATATCTTAATAATGAGGCAAACACACACTGGCCCCACACTAACGATTAACAAACCAACTGTTAAACAAGAAGTCAAGCATTCAAGCTCACACACACACACACACACACACACACACACACACACACACACACACACACACACACACACACACACACACACACACACACACACACCCATCTCCTGATATTTTCTACACACATACACAGTCAAGAGATACTATACCGCCCTGGGATTGTTTGAAATGAGAAGGCAAGTACAAGGTTTAAATAACCAAGAGAAAAAATGATGACTGTAAATCCTAGTCTGTAAATCTGTGGAATAAAGAGAAGCCTGTTGAGATCACGCTGGGCCATGAGGCATGTTTATACACTGACCGACACATGCACAATCAGAAACTCATGCTTTTGTTCGCACCCAAATACTCAGGTATAAACACATGCATACAAAACCTACACTGGGGCCAAATTGAGTAGCATGTCTTAAAAGCAAAGTGGAAATGCACTTCACTTCAATTTATTTCCCTCTCTCTGGCAATAACCCCTTCCATCCCCACAGGAGTAATTATAATTTAAATTTCAGAGTCAGGGCCAGGCTACAGACTTAATTCATTATTACTAACTCTGTCAGACTCTGCCTGTTTCCAGCGATATCATTGTCCAAAAGCTCTCTAAAGGAGATGAGAGGGGAGAGTGTGCGAAAGAAAGAGAGGGGGGAAAGAGAGAGAACGACAGCAATACAGTGAGAGAGAGAGAAAGGGAGAGAGGGGAAAACTCTGGATTTGAGGGCACAATTTCTCTCAAGATACAGCTGCTTGTTGTGATTATTGGGGAGAAACAGGGAGAAAGGGAGTCAAAGAGAGGACGTGAGGGAGGTTACAGAGAAGGAGTCGGGGGCAAACTAATAGTAAGTGCCTTAGAGTTAAACATTAGTAACCTACCTAGGAGTGTGTAGAAGGTTTTATTCAACTTTACCAAAAGCTGTAATTGAATGTCCGGTCGGGTTCATAACAACCGTTACTTAGGATATATGATCTGATATTTAATTATACCAATTCAGACTATTTCATTGGTAAGATGTTTTATATTTGTAATTGTTTGATTTATATCAACCTTGTTGCCACCTTCAGACTGTACTTTGTTGAGGCAAAGTTTTTGAATTACTGTCAAATGTTGATAATTGAAAAATCAAAGGATTTTAATGTTAAACCTTTCAGTAAAGTATCTAAAAGCATTATATTGGTATTGTACAAAAATGACAATAGAATCATAAATTCAAACAATTGGTGGTTTCCGTAATGATAGACGGATACATAAAATGACACCGAGGCTGAATGAAGAAAAATGAGACCGAATGATTTCTTTAATGTATGGATGCAGACATATTTCCACCCCCCCAATCCATCACCCACACTATACATCCCTTCCTCCTCCATACAGGTTCCCTGAGGGGACATTTAGGTTTGAGCCTCGATCCACAAATGGTAGACAGAACATACCCATCCTCCACAACAATTCAAATCCCCGTCAGAGAGATAAACAGCAAAAGATGGAGAAAACGGACAGACAGACAGACAGGCAGAAAGAGAGTGAGATGAAGGGAGGCCACGACCGACCCCCATCCCCTCATTCGCGTCCCTGCACCCCCCATCAGCACGCAGGTGGAATGACAGGGATAATGGGGAGATAAAAAGGAGGGATGAACAGAGGAGAGAAAAATGGAAGGACAGAGTTGGCTTTCATAAAACAAACCCCCGCTCTGCCTATGATTGACATCTTGTCACTGTGACATCTTCTTCCTGTCTCTGTCACACTCAACAGACACGCAAACACACAGATGAATCTTCCCCGGCATAGGCGTGTGACTCGCTGTCATCTTTGCATCGTGTCACCTTTCATCAGCTCTCCATATAACATTTCACACGCAGACACGCACAAAGCGTCTGCCCAGCAGCCGCGCAGTTCAGAGGACATTTAATCAAATGCCTGTGAAATGTTCAAATGCTAACAACTTCCTCCCAATTCCCACCCCGTCTCATCAACCCTGAATCCCTGTCTGTCAACAATCTCTCTCAAAGTTTGCTCTCTGCCCATCCCACACTTCACAGCAGACCCTTATCTCACTTCCTGTCCAGGTTGTGTCCTTTCTCTTCACCTTAGAGCAGTGCACTGGAGTGGGTGGGAGAGGTATTGCTGGCGTGAGTGAGCATACTATGTGGGTGGGTGGTGAAGTGCCACCACTTCAGCGGAGGTCGCCATGTCCTCATCCACCCTTCTTGTGGCCACCTCGGGCCCATTAAGAGCCATTAGTGTGTGTGCTCCTTTGCCATCATAATGCATAAATCTCTTTCTGTCCCTCTTTCCCTCTCTACTTCTGCAGAACAGTAATTAGGGATGAAGGAAAGGTTACGGTGAGAAATAGTACATCTAAGGCAGTTGTCACTAAGTGTATTGCACCGTGTTGCATACAGTATAGCAGGGCCGTCAGCTGCATTCAAAGTAGTTTTCGGTGGAAAATCATGTGTACTCATTCACACGCATGCATGCGGTACTTCCAAGTGTACAGAGGCACTCACAAACCTGGCAGACATACACACACTCACACAAAGCCGTCACAATGCAGAACAGCTAGAATGAGAGAGACATTAATGAGCTCGGCGCTAGCATCAGATCCCAGCACTCAGGTGTCTATTATCGGCTTCCTTCAATGGCCACAGATTGGGATGAGGAAAGAACACCTGCCAGATACAACACAGTGACCTCACTGTGACCTCACTGTGACCACATGAGGTGTGGCGTGTGCACATATTTGTTAGTGTGTGTATGTGTGAAAAGGACATTTGCAGGATTTGAAATCTGCAACGTCTTTGTAGAGATTTAGGCTATTAATGCACGTTTTAGGTGTTTTATTTTACAGCATCGAGTCTTACAACACATTGATTTAAAGCGACTATTTGTGTGTTTCGTGATGATCGGGGGGGGGGGCACACTGCTGAAGGCTGGCACAAGCAGGGGAATTCAATTGTTTTCTCTTCCTCGTTTGTGAAGGTATCTGCTCTTTAAAGCTGAGATGATGACAGCATGGTACTTGTATTGCTCCGCCAACCCATCTTTTTATTAGATAGCTGACGCATGAAGGTACTGTTTTTGCATGGGTCTGTATGCGTGTGCCTGTTTGTGATTAGCAGCATTGGATGCTTTTGTGCAAGCTGGTGATGGAAAGCTGATTTCAAAGCTGATAATACCAGTCTGTTAAAATGTGCCCAAGCAAAATAACATACACACACACACACACACACACACACACACACACACACACACACACACACACACACACACACACACACACACACACACACACACACACACACACACACACACACACACACACACACCATGGGCAGATTAGTGGGCTTTGAGCTGCACTGTTACGTATTAGTGGTGGTACTTGGTCTTATCAGAGCTCTTTGATAAGGAACATCTTTATTAAATTCTCTAACTGAAAGACGGCCAGTCTGGGGAAAAGGAATATGTTAATAGGTAGAGACCATTCAAGTCTTCAAACCGACCTCCCTTTGCCCCTCCATCTAGAATCCCCCCCTCTTCTTTCACCCTCTATCTCTTCATCCCTTCATCTAACGGGAGGGCCACAGTGGCAACAGACAAAGAGTGGAGGCTGCCGGGAGAGCGGGGCAGAGATGGAGAGAGCTGGGGAGAGAAGGAGGCAGGAAAAGAGGTAGGCGCAGGAAGCAAAACGTCTCGCCTTCAGCCGAGCAGAAAAACGGGGTCTGCACGAGTTGTGAGAAAGGTGAAATAGCTTTTTCTTTTCATTTTACACGCCTTCCCTTCCCGGTGTAACCCTCATCCTTTACCTCTCGCCCCCTATTACACACACACACTCTCACAAACACACACACTTACACCCACGCTCCCCGCCCTCATTTTGTGGCTGTGAGGAGAGGCACAACGTGTTTATGACTCAGTCCTAGAGCTCCCCCCTCTGATATTGGGTGGTTGCTGCAGCGCGGAGCACAGTGGTCAACCTCCTGCGGCTAGCCAATAAGGCACCGCCACGGTTATGTAGGTCGTGGCACCCGTGTTTGGCCTGTGGAGCCTCGCCACTGGTGCCTATGCACACACTGAAAGACGCAAACACACACCAGCTGGGACGAACGGTTAACTGAAACCAAATCATTTTCTTTAATCTCACATACAGACAGTTAGCTACTGCTCTGAACGGTATGTGATCACATGGGCAAAGTGTCCCTGCACAAAAAAGCACACTTAAAAGTGCTACTAATGGGTAAATGTGCTATAAAGCTCTCCTAAATAATTAAATGAAATCATGATTCTGAAATAATCCTGTGATTTTTGTTTTGTTTCTAATTCCTAAAATAAACTAAAATCCTTCAGTGAACCAATTTTCTATATGTTCTATAAAAAATATTGACTGAAAGCTAAATATGGCTGCTGCATTGAGTGATATCTGCTGATTCTGTTGATGTGCTGCCGAGTAATGTCCCGCGTCAAGGCCCTCCGTGAATTAAACCTATTGAAAGTGTGTGTGAGCATGGGTGTGTGAGTGTCTCTTTGTAGCAAGGAGTGAAGATGACAGGGTGCGAAGGGTTAACTAGGCTAAGACAAAGACATAGGCTGAAACCATTGTGTGCCGAGTGGAGGGCCTCTGGGGCAGATGGGGCCTTTGGGCTCTTTTTCGCTTTCTCTCTCCAACACTTAGCTCAATTCAATGACAACTGGCTAACAAGCTATGATATTTTACACACACATTAATGATGATTAAAATCATGACGCAAATACCGAACAATACTGGTGGCGTGAATCATGGCAAAAGAAACAAACCAGCTATGTTAGCCTCCATCGTTTTTTTAGAAGCAGTAAGAAAAACCTCTTCTTTTCGTCCACTCCTCTGGCCTACACGGCTGCAGCTTGGTGGAGTTCCTCTTGATGAATAAGGGAGATTTTTCATTAAATGAAGCCTGATGATAAAACTTGGACTTTTGATTGTCACATAGCTGTCAATCAAAAGAAAAAGTCACACTTTCAGGTATACTATTTATCAATAAAACAAGGGGTTACTGCATGGAATTTGGTAAAGTTGTGTGGGCAGTTAACTACTGTATGAAGTAGGCGTACTGCTTTAATATTACCCCTAAAAAATGGACTTTGGCATACTGGCTTTTTTGTGATCGCACACACATACAAAACACAAGGCCGCTCTTACAATAAAACTAACTCACATATCTCTGCATGATCTGATGCCTCTCGTTCGGGTCGTCCAGCATGTTGACAGACAGGTCTGAGATGGAAACGGCGGCGGAGGCAGTGAGTGTAACCAGCAGCACCAGAACACCTTCACCTTCCTCCAGCGGCAGCTCCAGCTTGTGTGTCTGTTCTTTACTGAGGTGTGTCAGGTCTACGGTACACCTGAAGTGCACACAAATGCACAATGAAACAGATATAACTGTAGTTAGGGGGAAGCTGACAAAGCTACAACACAGGCTAAAAGTAACAGAGGACAATGAAGACTAAACCTAAGTCTAAGCCAATCTGGGGGCTTTTTGTACCAAAAAGCACAGAAAAAGGTCTCCAATTTCCCTTTAGAAATAAGGCTTCTACTACTGTAGTTATCATCGTATGAAACGTAATGTATTGCATGTGGCGCTGGAGTATAGCAACAGCCTAGTAACAGTATAAAGAGCGTCATGTGTGTACGATAAAAGCAACTGCAGACAATGTAGCTGAAGCGGACACAATTAATACCTTTAAGTAGGCACTTGAGAGCATCTTCCCTTCACTGAATTGATTTCCTGGCATGCCCTTAATATATCTTCAGTTTATATCAAGGCAGGCAATAGCAATTACTGTCCTTGGGTCAAAGATTTCAAAGTAAAGGCTTTTTTTGAGTGCCTTCATGCTGCTGTTCTCATGGACGTTAAATAGGAGGTAATAAATAAGTACATTCGCACAATTATCAGATATGGCCATTTGATATTAAATGATTTGACATACAGAAAAAGGTTGTAAAATGACAGTAAGACCTAACATGTGTGGTTAGGTAGAACCTTACAAAAAATGAATGATTTTTATAAGCTGTGACTGGCTACTTCTGTTTTAGCTACTTGGTAAAAGACTGATCAGAATCAGAATCAGAAACAGGTTTATTACCAGGTAGGTTGACACGTACGAGGAATTTGACTTGGTGTTGTGGTGCATACATAAAAGTAAAACAAAAATTAAAACACAGATAGAAAACTATTTTAAGAAAACTATAATGACATTACAAAATATATTAAAATATAGCAGTATTGAAATAGAATTGGAATAAAGGCCACTGTACCTTCCCATGAAGTCATCCTTCTTGCCAGCGTCTTTGTCCCAGACCGTGATGTCCACGTAGCCTCCCTGCTCCTCATACAGGTGGAAGTCAAACTGCTCTCTCCACTGAGGGTTCAGCGTTTTGGGAATTGTCTGAGTTCAAAACAAAAGAAAATCCTTTGTTTGTCAATAACGTGCTTCTACATCCATTTTTAACTAAGCTTAGATGTTTTTGTATTGAGCAATCTCCATATAATCCCAACTAAATTAGTCTTCAATATGAAGTGTATAACTGAACTCTCAGTGGTTCCTTTCTAAGTTGAATATTGAAATTAACGAAATCTTAGTATAAAAATGTTCTTTTGTTATTTTGATCACGGGGGCACACATAACATAACGGTCTTATTCAGAATTATTTGGAGGTTACTGTCAAATTAAGTATTCTTAAACAAAAGTGTGTTTACCTTGGTCTTGTACTTCTGGTGCCCCATCCTGAATTTGATGTAAGGGTCACTGAGGCCGTTGGCGTCCATTGGCTGGAGGCTGCGGCCTTCGATCAGACTGATGCTGACTATCCCTCGCCACAGCTGGGACTTTCTGTGCACATCTGACAGGCGCATGCTCTGATACTGCAGTAGACACACACATTCACACACACATTTATTCATACATAAACAAGCATGTACACACATATGCATTCATTAAACCCAAGGTAGAAGTATGGCTTGAATACACTTTGTCAACAGGAAAATAAGCAATCATAAAGACACCAAGACAACATAGAGAGGAGCAGGCAACACACACTAGAGAAGAATCAAACAGAAATGTGATAATTTGACCCGATTCATATATATTTATACTATAAATTAAACATAGTATCCACCTATTTATACAAGTCTATTAAGCTGAAGCGGTTGGGAATGCTGAGGAATGGAATAATGCCCTCTTACCTCTCTGTGTTTACTGTGAATCTACTGCAAAAAGAAAATCTTACAGTGTGCACAAGATAGTGTATGTCATTATATCAGTCTTGCCTTTTTGTAAAAAAAAATTATTTAATTAAAAATAAAAAGGCGAGTGATTTGTAGGCTGTCTTATCCAAAACGTGCATATCACTGAGATTCTGCTCCAGTATAACTTCCATCTGGCGATATGATTGATTGACGATTCTCCGTATTATAAGTCTGTTTTTCTCCAACAGTTTTCCCAGCACTAACAGGCCTATTTAACCTCTCTTTGAACCATGTCAGTATCCTTCACTAAAACAAAGAGCAGGGTATTTATTTGTCAAACAAATACACCCCTCTCTCTCTCTCTCGCTTTCTCTCTTATGCCTTTCCCTCTCCTCCTTCCTCGTTAGGGAGAATTTATTAGCATAGCTTTTGTTTTGCGGGTGAATTTCATTAAACTCTGAACAAACCCTGCCTCGCAAGCGCAGGCCTTTGATCTGGAGACGAAGCCTCTTAATTTCCATTCTCCAGACATTAAACAATGCAAATGGCTCCCTGCAATAGAGCCAACCTCCCATACTGCAACTCCCACATCTTTCATTTCTCCTGTTCGCTTGCTGCTAACACACTGTATGCTAACGATAAGAGGTCACCGTTATGTCCTACTTGAGCAAAATCCTAATTGTTTCCTTGTTTTGTTGCTACATAATACTTCTAACAGAAAACCACAGGCTATTTGGATTGGGAATCCACATCCTTCTGCCAGAGCACAGCAGGAGATAGATCGTGCATAGAGATGTTCAGAGGCTGAAAGTCTTATAAGAGATAGTTGCACTCAGTTTAAGAACTAATATAACCTGGCACACAACTTTTTTCAACCCGTTGGAAGAATAAACAACGTTTGAAGTACAAAAATAAGCATTTTTCCAAGTGATAGAGGAGAGACCTGGTTTAATATGCATCTGACTCATAATCATTATCTCAAACTAGATATTTAATAGTCTCTTCTGTTGTTGGTTCAACACTCATTGATGGTTCATTAAAAGAGGTGGTTGTGTAAAAATAACTGTATACAGTGGAGCATGGAGGCAGGGAGGCACTCAGGAGCAGCGCCTTTTTGGTGGGGTAGCACAGTTTAGCTACTAAATTAGTGTTTGGGCTAAATCCAGAGTCACAGGCGGGGTGGCCCAGTTTGCCGGCTTCAAAAGGAAGCATGGTGCAGCAGGACGTCTGCCCAGCTTTGGATAACTCACTTCAAATGTGTATCCGTGTCTCTTGGTAGGATATCAAACTTTTTAATACTTTTAGTGCGATTTAAGGGATCGACTATGACTGAAGCTAAGCTCAAGATTCAACGGTTCCCTTCTCAGTGAACCAAAACAGGAAGAGATAAGAAAATACCTCAGTAAAAGTGACACAAGGACCAACAAAGCTGGGAATACATTCAGGAAAATGCTCCCAAAACTGTATTTGACCGAAAAAGAAAGTGTTTCATGCATGAGCCAAATAAGCGCAACTTTGAACATCATGCTTTCTGTTCAACCCGACAGCCAACGAGAAATACAAACGAAATGTACCAAGATGGTAACAGTTTTATGTATTGCAAGATGAGAACTCAAAATAATATCAAACAGAAACATTTCCACTTGATGCAAATGGGTCTAAGTATGTCCTATAATCAGTCCATACAGTCAGCCGTCAGCATTCCGTCATCCCACAGTTTGATTTGCTGTACAGGAATCCTTTGAAACCCATTATAACAAATCAATTGCTTTATTTACTCACAAAGCAGCTGCAATACACTGTGCGGATCAAAGGTGGAAGACGCAAACATATATAACTGCATTATTTAAAAGCTTAAAAGGACAAAGTTTAATATAGATTATGTTACAAAAAAATAATATACATTGACTTCACTGTAAATGACTCCAGACATATTGTCACCGCTTTCGATTGAAAGACTAAATATGTAAACATAACCAGGAGGTGAAACATCACGTATAAAAACAGTACTTAGTGTAGTGCATTACTTCGGTATGTATTTGTATGAATTACAACTTGCCTTAACAGATCTAAATGCAGTTCATCTTTAGGCTTAATCAATTGCATTCCAAAACATATTATTTACGTCCCCTCAGGTGATGTAAACAGTGCGTGGTATTTTGCAGCTTGTGGGAAATAAGCAAGTGATAATGAGAACTAAAGAACTGATAAAGGAAAATAAACGGGTAGTACCACTGTGGAAGGAGGAAAACGAGGGAGGAAGGGAGAGGGCCACGGAGACTCCACCAATATACCAGGACACAAGTGAAGAGTGCAGGACAGGTGAGGTGCAGTGCGGTCGGTGGGGGGGGGCGGGGTGGTTACAGTACACTCGGAAGTTGTGAGGGAGGGGGAGTTACATGCTGTTTTAATTTACCTTACTAGATCGTTTCCAGTTCCTTCTCAAAAGCATGGTCTGTAAATGAGACAAAGCTGTTACAGAGCACCCCCCACTGTCTCCCCCTTACAGCTGCAGGGTCAGGGGTTAAAGGGCACTGGGTATATAAGGGTCAGATGTTAGCTGGCCTGGTGCAGGAGGGGGGTGTTTATAAAGAGACAAGGGTAGCTGTCATTCATGCAAGTTAAGTTACCAAGGAGTGTATAAGAAGAACAATTACTTGTCATGTTATGAAGTATACCCATATGCAAACATGCAGTTAAACACATGCATATGTTAGCTGCCGTTTGTGCCTCTCATACAGTGTACCCATCATTTTAATACTTGATAATTTGAAAAAATCTCATGACCATTCCTACAACCAAAGAAAGACGGGGACTCATAGCTGCTTCCTTGTTTGGTTTGCTCATTTTAGCCTGCTTTGTTTGGGTCATATTATAGAGAATCACCTTTAAAGCAGTTAAACATTGTACTTAACTGTACAGAAAATAACTTTTTTTCCCCACCAACCATTAGAACGAGGATTATGGACATGTCCTCATACAGGCATGAGATTTTGTGAAAATGCTGCCAAATGTCTCTAATCTTGGCTTTAAATTATTTCTGAGATGGATGTGGCCTATTTCTTCTTAATTGAGATAAATGCTATAATCAATATCACTACATGAGAGGACTACTCACATACGGTAATTTCCCTGAACACTCATGAACTTGATAACACACATGATATAATGAAGGTCACCTCATATAGCTGCTTGATAACTACAATCACCATATTATTATAACTTCAAATAAGGAGTAATTAAAAGTAAATTTGAGCTATGGGTAAACTTTTACCCTAGTAAACCAGTAGATGGCAATAGAGAGTCATCCAGTGTGTACTACTAGTGTAGCCTTGTACTCATTTTCTTCACAGTTGGAGAAATCCAAAATGATGCTTAACCTAAATAGAGTTTATTTGTTCTGTCAAATGTGGACTCTCTGAACTACAGCACTAAATAAGCAGCAGAATTAAGACATCAGATCAAAAGGAATACAATATTTCCCCCATGACTCTGCCTTGTTCCGGATCGAGCATGCAGGGGTCCAATTAACCAAACAAATAATTGAACAGAAATAAATGCAACTCTGAAACATTGAGCATGTCCGTGGAGGCACAAGCAACATAATTAGGAAGGATAATTCATTGCTCTTTGAACATGGAACTTTTCCACAGAACATATTAATTACACTTGTGTTTATGCATATGTATTTCCTGAGTTGAAGAGTTTTCAGAAACTGGTGATGAACGAAGCCAAAACATTCTAGTTCAACACAGCCCGGTGCCTCTGATGTACGGAGAAACAGTTCACTCCGCTGTTATAACACTGCTGCTGAATTTAAAATGTAGTCCTAATATTTTGACTTGCTAGTTTTAACTGACAAGCAATTAAGCATAAATTAAACCCTTGGTTTTCCCTCATTTGGCTACATCCTCTCATATTATTCCTTGTTTTGGTGGATGGTAGATAGATTGTGAAAAGGGCAAGTACAATAAATCATTCCTTGTGTGCGGGAAGAAAAATAAATAATATTATTGTTTTTCATATCATTTTCTTACAGCATCCTTCATGTCTCCCTCCTTTGGTGACAGAGTGACACCGAGGTCCAGGCTGCCCAGGTTGTGTTCAGGGAACTGTGGGTCCTTCAGGTCCAACGTCACATCCAGTGACCTGCAGAGAAGTACAGTAAACCACATAAAAACGTATAATGTAGGTACATACAAAAATGGTGTACATGTATATATTGAGAGTGAATGGATTCCACATATAAATAAATGCATTAATCTAATTCAATCCATTTTAACAAACAGTCAAATTAAATATCTGATCAGTTCTCACAAGCTGCCGTTCTAGCTGTTTGCTATAATTGTTTCACAAACTGTAAACCTTGAAAAAAATGGAAGGAAAAGCTACTAACCTCCTATAGCTGGCATGTTGACTGACATTGAATACAGTTTTAAGCATATTTGGTTGGATGGTGAATGGTAACAACTTTGGCCAGCATAATCATGATATTCAGTTGTCATTTTGTCCAATGCCTAACATCCAATAGGCGTTTTCACTGAGGTCATAATTGGAGTCACACTATGGTAGTCCCAGGTATAACCAATAGTTTTAATGAGGGCTGAATTCCAATTAGCTGCTTTAGTTTTTGGGTCCTGGCATTGTGCACGCTTGTTTACTGTCACACACTTTCTGAGCAAAACAGAGCCATAGTAATGTTAATATTAAAACTTGTGCTTCTCATGCTATTACAAGTCCTGCGAAGAAGGTCTACCAGCAGAGCTGAGCGAACTCCCACCTGCCAGTTGGTATAATCAGCCAGAGTCATTACAAACACCTGTGTGGGTGTGCAACCAAAACTAATTTCCAATCAAAAATGTGACACCTACTCCAAAGTGATTGATGGCACAGCAGAGATGGCACACGTGAGGTTTTTGAGAGATAGTTGTTTTACTACTAAGAAGAATATTAATGATGGTCTGTGGTATCAAATTACTCTTCATATACTTCTCTGTTCAATCAAATTGTAATAAAGCTGTTATGCTTCATGAGGTTTGAAATGAGTTACCAAAAACTGCCACTAGGGAGAGACAAACGACCTTATGTTTATCACAATGACTCAGTCAAGAGGGAGAAAAATGCTGAAGATGGCGTGTGCCAAGAAAATAGGTTAGTGGGAGAAATCTTAGGGGAGACTGACCCTTAACCTCACCATCTGTTGTCTCCTAAAACAACAGCATCTCTTAACATGCCTATTACTGGAGGCTTGCAGCTACCAATGAAGTGGTTCAAATATAATCCCAGAGTTCAGGAGATAGTTAACAACAGGGACAATACCGTATAATGAGGGTGTGTATAGTGCTAGTGGAAATACAAATTATAATATAAATGCCTTTAAAAATAATTTAAAAAGAGACCTCTGATGTTCCAGTGACTCCAGGTGGAGATATGCAGAGCCCATGAAATCATCCTGAAGTCCAAAGTCATAGTCAAAAACCTAAAAGACACAATAAACAGAAACTATCAATGGAGTATCTTCAAAATAAGATGCTATCCGTCACAATAATTCAAAATCTTCCAAAGACACAAAAGCATTTTATTCTCCAGTAGTATGATATTTGTTAACCAGGTCGTATCTACTGTACCTTGACGTATAGCGGGTCTTTCAGGGTGTCCACCAGAAGGCTTACTCTGTCGTCCCACACTGGGTTGAGGTTCTTATGGATGGTCTTACTCCTGAAAACCTCCTTCCCTGCTATCTTAAACTTCACATATGGGTCACTGGTGCCTACAAGGAAAGAAAACAAACACAGAGAAATGTATTTAAACAATCGGATTAAGAAGAGTACCAACGAAGAGATGCCTTATGCTGCCTACAACCGAGGAGAAAAAGGGTCAAACTGAAAGTTAAAGCCAATAACTCTTTTCTTCAGCTAATGGCATTGATCAAATGGGTGTATCTAAAGATTATGCTTTAATACAAATAAAAAAGTTCATGACTAGTGTCGAAAAACATTCACGTTGACCTTTACTGATGATAATTCAGTTTTCATACTACAATTTCTTTTTAAACTAAATATGTTCTAAGTAGAAGTATTGAATTTCCAAGTACACAAAGCATGTTTGCTCAGATTATGGAGATATTTAATTCTATGAAGCTATTTTATTATAATTTTGCTCTGGACCACAGAGAGAGAATGATATAATGTTGTAAATGCTGCTCTGAAAAGGCTGAAGGAGAAAATTATTCATGTCACGTGACTCGTGTTGTATATCCGGTCATATGATCAGCAGTATAAATGCTGAGGCTGCATGTTGGATGTGCACATAGATATATATATATATATAAACCATAGATATAAACACTAGATGACTCACCTGCGCTGCTGGCCAACGGAGACCGACCGAGACCGACGTTGCCACATGGCGGCCATCTTGACACAGGTAGCTCGCTGATTCATAACGTTATGTCTATGATGCACTATTGAAATAACCATAACTTACTCAATTTTAAACCAATTTTCAAACGGTTTGGTTTTTTATAAACATCAAATATGTAGTTATGATACTGCCTACTTATAATCATGGAATTTTTTTTGTTCAACATGTCTTTTTCTTGTCTCCTGTATCATAGCCATGGTGATAACGTTTAAAATAAACCAAACCGTTTGTAAATCAGTCAATAGTTCAGCGAGTTAAGAGTATTTTTGTGCAGATCACTCACCTTACAACAGCTGTAGCAGTAGTTGTTGACTGTGGCAAGATGGCCACCGATGAGCTACGCTGGCGACTCCCCCTTGAGCCATCTAGCCTAAAATTATATATTCTATGGATGTGCATAGCCCGTTCAAATCCTCTGTTTGACCACTAGATGGAGGCATTGATTAACAATTGTGTTCTGCTCGAGAGCGAGATCATTTTGAAAACTATAAAACAAGTCTTTTTTATGTCAATGTAAATACAGAGATACAGGTAAGTCCATATTACACGCAAATACAGAGAGGACAAAATAAGATATACATTTCTAAACCTACATTTTATTTATTTATTCTACATTGATCCTCCTGTCATTCCCATGCTTCATTTAAACATCCCATCAACCAAGGACCGATACATTTTATAATCAATTGGTTTGATGGACAAAGAAAAGCAAAGACAGAGACCAGAAGGAAGCACACATTTATAATCAAAGGACAGCTCAATTATGTAAAAAAACGTGGAGCCCTAAGTAAATTACTTTAAAGGACGTATCGAGGACATTTCTTCCAGAAGACACACTTCAATATGTATCACACATTTAAAAAATCCATTAGACATACAAGTTCAAATGTTTACTGCATCTGAATAAAAATGACAAGCAACCACACAGACTGAGGGAGACTGGGAAGTATTCACAGTCCATGTGTTTACATCAGAGTTTGTGTTTTATGTAGGGATTGTAGGCGGTCTGCTAAAATTCCGATACACATACATATTCAGTATAATTACCACACACCCAAAACCTTTTCCCCATCTTTGGCATCCAGGAATCACAGTGCCTTTCGTCTTATCTAGCCATTGCCCATTGAGATGAGGATGAGCAGCAGCTTCCAGTGAAGCAGTACTGATCTGTTTGTTTGTGCTGAGTCTCATATCAGTGTCATGTTAGTATCCACTGTGACCAAAGTGATTACCAAGCAAATCGCACTGGGAGATAAAGAAATCCTATGTCCAAGAATTGTCACTCTGAGCCTGTGGTTGATACTTTCTGCCAGATCGCTTGGATAAAAGAGAAATGTAAGTGAATATAAAGCCTACCGCTCAGAATATTATATAGCTTAGAATCTTAGATGGAACCAAGAGCACCCTAATCCTGCGTTGAGTTGTTCACCTGTTAGTATAATCTGCCCTGTTTTCAGGAGGCAGAGAAGATGCTAGTGGATGAAAGGATGAGCTCTCAGTGTTTCCTCAGATCAAGATAGATTCTTGTTTATCACCAGAAAACACGTAATAATACCTCACATAATATTGATGCACATTAGAGACATAATAGAGGCTCAAGGTCAGATTAACTAAGGTTATTTTGTCATCACAACAGATTATATAATACCTGTTGTATAGTAGTCAAATCATAGTATATTAAAAAAACACGGGTCATTTGAGTCCAACAAAAGACTCCATTTAAATATGAAAAAAGAGAGCATAAACTCAACTTTGTCTGAGAAAAAACTGCTGACGGATGTCAGCTGCCAGTAAGCTTTGAAGCAAGAGTGGAAATGCATGCACTGATGCCGGGGCTGCTGGGAAAAGATGTCCATTTCTTCACAGTTAAACACCACCATGCACAGCGGCATATACTAGAAATACTCCCTCACATACACACTTTTACACACTGTTGCCCTTGACATATCACTGCAGCTCTCCTGCAGTGAGAGGACACAGTGACAAGATAAGAAGAAAAAGGAGAAAAAAGTGGTACAGCCAGAAATAGCTCAGAAGGGCATTACGGTGAGGCACAACAGACAATAAATACAAAAGAATGTGCAGAACTGTAAAAAAAGGCATAAAATAAATCATGTTTCTTCGTGAAAAAGGAGTAAAACAATCTGTATTGTGTACATGAGGTTATACTAAAGGAACTATTTAAAGATAATCTAAAGAGGAATGGTCCCATACTGCATCGTGGAGGCAGAAGCCACTTGTCTAAAACTGCAGCAACTCTCTTTCTCTGTCTATCTTTCTCTGATTCTGTTTCACACCGGGTCGATATTCCCCAGACACACATCACTAGCTCAGTATCTGCATCCTCCGTGCCAGCTTTATGGTGCCATAAACACGCAGGCTGAGATATGGAAAAGGTTGGTGCATCAGGTGGGTGCAGGCTCAATATGAGTGAGCGTGGGTAGAGCACAGGGGAGTGATCGCAGCGGTGCTCTCTTGGAACACATCAACCACTATATATGACATTTATATCATACTTCTTAAAATACTTCCAACAGTTGGATGAAGTCCATGAAGACAGAAAGTGATTGCATGCCGTACATAAGCGCTGGTGGGGGGATAGGTCAATAAGCTATAGGTGTTGTAAGATCAATAGCCTTTAAAAGGAAGAAGAAAAAGTTGACGAAAAAGCCTATAACCTCCTAGGGTTAAAGACAGTATGTGTGATGGATTGGTGACCTAGGGTTGTTTTTCCACCTTGCAGTTGGAACCCTGTGAACTAAAAGTGCTGGGTAAAGGGAGAGCTGGTATTAGGAGGGAATGTGTCACACACTGATAAACTGTCAGAGGTAGATAGGTGCTGACGAGAGGCTAGAGAGAGCACAAAGTGATTTTCTGTCGTTCTGCAGTTGAGTGGCATTACTGGTGAGGCATGTGCGTATGTTAAAATCCATTTCAGAAAAGAAGATTAGAAAAAGCTTCTAAGTAGGTTTTGATGACGCAACTATACATTTTAAAGTAATCACTGGCAGTTTAATGTTTGCAATGTTCCACTAATTCACCTTCCTGGATGTCAACACTCTTTCAATTCAACACACTTCATTCAGCAATCTGCAGTGTTTGCTTTGGAGCCTGCTGTTTGTTAAGATTTCTGAAAGTGTCTCCACAAGGACAAACATCTAAAAGCATAATTAACAGCAAATGAAAACACAATTAAAAAGCCTGCGCAGGAAACCACTGATTGAACTTTAATAAAAACCCAAATACAGTGGCAAGAAAAAGTACGTGAACCCTTTGGAATTTCCTGGTTTTATGCATTAATTGGTCATAAAATGTGATCGGATCTTCAGCCAAGTCACAAGTATAGACAAACACAATGTGCTTAAGTACACAAAAACATTTATAGTGAACCCTTGGGTTCAATAACTCCTAAAACCATGAAGCACTTCAGTAGCTACAGTAGAATCGCTAGCGATAGCTTGGAGGTTGATGATGAAAGGTCAGTAGGAGGCAAGGCTGAAAATGAGTAAAACTGGTTGAAACCCATGGTTGAAAGTTCAACAATTAACATTACACTTAATATAAATTCCAGATGCTATGATTCTGTACGGTAGAAGGGTATAGAGACAAAACTCATAACAGACATCAATGCACAGTGTATCTGTAACAGGGAATTATTTTGAGCCCTGGTCTAGGAACAGAAAATTAAGAATTTCATCCAATTTTGAAGTGAAAGATGTGGTTAACTCTCATTCTAGAGTCACACCTAGCTCCATAGACTTGAGAATGGGTGAGGGGGAATTGCCTAACACACAGCGAGATACTGAGTGTTGTTCATATCAAGGTGTTAATCTATTCATCTTTTATGATGCTATCAATGTCAACCGCTAAACACTGTGAAAGTAGCTGGGAGGAGTAATAAATGTGTTTGTGAGAAGACCCAGTTGGCACTCAGCAGGTAATCTTTACTTGGGTGTGGCACACAGGCAGATCTAAAAGCCCCTGATAGACTTTTGCTAGCTGCTCTCGGTCTTCCTGACAGGCAGTTGAAACCAGGATCCACCACACATCTATCTCCACTAAACAGCTAATGGGCAGCGTCCATTTAAATACATCTCAGTGTCTGTCTGCCAGTAAGCCAGGCTGCCCCGCCAGACACCTGAGAACGCAGAGACCGCAAGCCTGAAAGCAGACTCTGTAATCCAAATGTGAAAACATCAAGGCCAAAACTCTCCATCGCACTCTCAATGGTCATCAGAATCATCATAATCCATCGTGCAATGGGGACAATTCTTATTGCCGTTTTTGCTCTCTCTTGTTTACAAAATATCTACAGTATATGTGTGTGTATACATTAATGCATAGACTGCTAATGCATGTTGTTAAGGCACAATGTGTGATTGTGACTTGACATGACAAACAAAAAAGTTAATTAAAAAATGCACCAGCTACATGGCATACACTCAAAACATCTTGCAACCTTGATCATCCAAGACATACAAGCAAGAGAGTAGGGATAGCTCACAGTAGAAGTGTCTGCATTAAAAAGTAATGAAACTAATTAGCACGCTAACACATCCATAGATAGAGTAACACATGCTAATTCCTAGGATGTCCTGTGATATTCATGAATATAGAGCAAAGTAGTGATACATACATTTATCCAGTCGACAATGCAAACAGGCCTATCAGATCATTTCCAAATTGCAAATGCATAATTATAAACTTACTGATGCATGTACTAGTAAAGTGAAGACTTTCTCTTCCATTAATTACATACCAACCCTTACCAAAGTGAGGCAGTGTGTGTGCATACACACCATACACTCATTCAAGGCATATGCATGAGTAAAGCCATTCCTGATGTTTGTATTAGGTATTTGTCTAACAGTGTGTCTTTGATCTGTAGTCGATTAATTGATTCAGCCTATGTACTGTATTGGCCAATGTGTGAGTTTGATTTTCCAAAACTCTTTATTTGTAGTCATTTAAACTGTGGAGCTTTGATATCATTTGCATATCAACTTCTCTAGCTTCCCTCTCTCTTTTCCTTCTTGATGAAACACCATCCTCTCATTCCCTGGCTCACCATATTTCTCTTCTCCCTTTGGCCCCCCTGCAGCTGTCCTAAATAAATTACATCATAAAGCTTAATCACACGATCTTCCACTGGAGTTCGTTGTTCCCATCCGTACTTAGGGAAAGTTATCGCAATGACAAATGCTCACCGTATTATCCAACAGCCAGCAGCACTCGCTCTGCAGGTAGCACAATTTGCATCATGGTAACTGGAAAATAGGATTTGCACATCAACTTGGTAAAAATGATGGAGCACCTGGTCGTGTTGCAAATATGAGGCTGTTGCAGCTTGTTGTTTTTCATATGCAGAGAAAAGGTCATTTACACACCAGGTAACATGATTGTGAAAACATTAAAAGTGTTGAAATTAGACACAGCTTAACATTGTTAAATGATGGGAACCAAGCAGCATCTCTCAGTTATAGAGAATGCAATGTGTCTGATTAATGTCAGGGTCAATATATCAACAGCAATACATACTGTACAATATGTATTATAGTAGTGTTGGATAGTACATTGTATTGGGATTGTATTTCATTGAAGGGTGACTTATTTTAGCCAAACATTAACTATTGATTTCTGATCTCTTATGCATGATCTTTTTAGGAGGTTTTAAGTATTACAAAGAGAGTCAACTACAAGTCAATTATGGATTCAACTTCAAAACTAACCGTTTCATTAGAAAGCTGCGATGCAACCGTTATTAGAGGGACAGGCTGAAAATACAGAGGGTTCATCAACGTCTAATGCTTTCATTTAAATGCCAGTGCTGCTCTGGGATCAAGCAGCCGCCCAAGTGCCTGCAAGAAAGCCTCCAAGCGCTCCAGACAAACCCCTGAGCAATAACTGAGGATTGATTTATTTCATCAGGGAGGTCATGAAAGAGATGAGGAAATCTGTGCCTGAGTATGTGTGTATGAATGAATGTATGAGAGTGCATTTTACACACACACACACACACACACACACACACACACACACACACACACACACACACACACACACACACACACACACACACACACACACAGAGAAGGGGTCATCGCAAAAAGCACCACTGCTCCTTCTCCCTCACTTTGATTACAAAACCACTATCCTTCCTCACACATAAACATAGACACACAAGTGTAAGGGATGCACTTATTCATTATCTTAACATAAACAAACACATGTTAAGCCACACACCTGCTGTGTTCATGGTTCTGAGAGGAAGCAGGGCAGTAAACATGTGTCCTCGACCTTTTTTATAAAATAATTACAAAACAGAGGGTGACTCCTGTCTGTCTGAGACGGTGAGCGGGAGAAAATAGATTTTTACGCTGGGAGAAGAGGCTTCTGCTGCAGCTATAATCACATAATGGGAGATAAGGTCATGTTCAAACAAGCCATCTTGGTCAAGGCCTTTTAAAAAGTGAATGAAAGGTGCTTGTTACTGAAGGCAGTTTGAAATAGGATAATGATGGTACAGGGCTAGCCACACATTTATAAAATAAAAAGCTCTTTAATGTCATATGGCTTCACACTGATGAGTGGAACTATTAATTATTCTGCTTCCCCTTTTCATCATTAATCTGCAGATACTTATTACACATTCGTGATCAATAGCTTTCAGAGTCAGCACAAGGAAGAAAACCGGTCCTGAATTATTAACTGATAATGGATGAGCAGGTAATTACATTTCTTCAGAGGACAGTGGGATATTATGTTCTAAAAATGAGTATCATTCTCCATTAAAAATAAGTTATTAACTTTCTGCTTAAGTAGTCAAAAAAATACTCGTTAATCTCCAGAGCAAATGTCTCAAAGCTATTCAAATGACTGCCCTACGCACATTCAATCCAACTAAGACTTAGCAAAAATACAAACACAATTTTCTTGTGAGGCCAAGACTTAACAATAGCATTTAGAGTAATAAAAAACAAACAAATGGATGACAAACTGAATGCTAATATCATAAGAAAGCTGTCCATAATGTGTGTCAGTACTAAATTGGTTTGTCAGTCCACAAAAACCAAGTTGTATTGTTTTCCAATGTGAGAAAACGTAGTTAATACTATGAGGAGAAATCGACTGCCAAGGAAAGAAATGGAATAAATATGTTTTTTTGATAGATGTCTTCAGAATCTGAGGCAGCATTTGAATGTATTGGAATCATTTGAACTTTTTTCAGAGATAGGAGACTAGTCAAACAGCATCTAGACCTTCATTTAACCTGTACTTGCTGACATTGCTTGTGACAAATATAAAATATGAGAGGGTTTTCTGCATCAAATTATACAGGATGTGTGGTGCCTTCCTTGAACAAATACCACCTCTGCAACAAAATATCAAACAAATCATTCAACCTTAATTGCATCAACCTTCAGAGCAGAGGAAAACACTTCCGCAAGTCAGATTGCTTTTCGAAACCTTGGGCAATATTTTACTTAGAAGTTCCAAATTGAAGATACTTTTCAAAGCAGATATTTTGAAATTTCACAATAATAGGAAAGAACAGGTGTAATACATAACATTAAAGGTCCCCTATTATACAGTTTTTCATCAATATATTATAGGTCTCAGATATTTTCAAAACATGTCTCTGGAGTGTTTGGCTCCAAATACCAAACAGATCATTGTAGCATCCCATAATCCCCTCTGTTTCAGCCCTGTTTCAAAACTGCTGATTCTCTGTCTGTTACTTTAGATGAAAATAAGGAGCCACTCCCCACGCCCCTCTGAGAGATATCTGGTTAAAAAGAACACAATGGTGCTCTAGGAGGAGATTCAGGTGATAAGGTGGGGGGGGGGGGTTACCTTGGTTGGTTATTGGCTAATGGTTACACAAGCCAAAAAAATCGTTATGACATCATAAAGTGGCCAAAATCTGATTTTCAGACAGGTTTTTATATAAATGGATCAGGACAAAAAGAGAGAGAATCTTTGTTCCTGAAACGTTCAGAATCTCTTTACACAGAGGGGACACATGTTTATGTATAAAAGACATGAAAAAGTGGATTTTGAATAATAGGTGGCCTTTAAAAACAATACAATTTATTCCAAAATACATGTAAATGTTACAGTCGAATGATCTTATAAATGTGAATGACGGATTAGTGGAATTGTATGTTCTAAATGGAAATAAACCATTGCAAGTTACTAGTTGTAACCTGAGCATGACCTGCAATGTCAAGTCTGCCTTATTTATGTATTCATAAAAAAATAATGATGATGTGGGGAAGAGTAACAGCCTCTAGAGGGAGCTTTGTGATTTTAGCAATGCACAAAAACCTAGAAAAAACACTAGAGGAAAGGGAAACCCCTAAAAGCATAATGGGGTCCCTTTAAAAGTCTACAAAACATCTTTTAGAACTCTGTTAAAAATGTTTGTTTTTTAAAAGCTGCTTGTGATCCCATAGACTTTCTGTAATTTAATAGAGTTAGGCTGATCTAACTTCTCACTCTAGGAATGAACGGAAGTGTGTTTCCAACCATCACTCAAATCAGGAATTGAAGTGAGATAATTAAAGTGTTTAAAAACTTTAAAATCAGTTCTGAACTTGTACTTACTCTTGGCACTCACTGCTTCACTGGACCCTATTCAGAGTTGGCCAAAACATTGCCTGTCAAAATGTCTGTTATTAAGAGCCACAGCATGAAGGAGGCTCACTGATGCTTGTCATGAGATCGGAGAACAGAAGGAGGAAAAAAGTAGTAAAGCTGCCCATAAAACCCTCAGTCATGCTCCCGCTGCAAACACATAAGAGCCTCATGCTCGAGTTGTGGGCACTGTGTGTGTGTGTGTGTATGTGTGTGTGTGTGGTGCGTGCGTGCGTGCGTGCGTGCGTGCGTGCGTGTGTGTGTGTGGCCTATGTGTAGTGTGATGACCGACGGATGGTTGCAGCTCTGGGGTTCCCCATTACCCACAATTTAATACAGTCAGGAGAATGTATTGGCTATAAAAGACTGCAAAGACAATAAATGCCATCATAGGATGCTGACGGCTGGATTGAAAAACTGCCTCATTACTATTACAAACAACAACACATGCCGCTGGCTCCTGCTGCTTTATGCTGAGAGGAGTTTACTTTACTCCCCTCTTGTCAAATTTACATTAAATGAATTTTCATGAATGAGCAGCTGCGGTGCAATCTTGCTGCAATTACAATGCAAAGTGTGAGATACCATAACAGTAAGACTGATTGCTTAATAGAGATGAGAACTTCACAGCATGTGGAAGAATAGCATGGGAGGTGAGAAAACAATGAAGAGGACTTAAAATACAACAATAGACAACGTGCTTACTTTGGTGTCAGGCTCTGGCTCTCTCACTGTTTTCACATCTTTAGAAAGTTCGGCAGACAAGATAATTAGGCTCGTTGTAGACACAATTGGTCTTAGTCGTACTTTGAGAACTAATCACTGTAAACCTCCACACTAATACAAGACCTTTAAATACACACACAGCACATATACTGTATAATGAACACAGAAGGGGCCAGCACATGCAGACATCTACACAGTCATTACTTGGTCTCAGAGGGAAGAAATGACAGCAGTTTGGGATGTGTAAGGACTAGGAATCAGTTTCAATTTTCCAACATATACTAAAATCCAAAAGCTTATATCTCTATCCTATGCACCTTATTTAAAAAGCTGTATGAATGTGTAATCATGACTTTGAAGCTAAATAAATAATAATTCACTTTAATGGTTAAAAACACAGCTGCACGTCCATTCTGCAAAGCGCACACTACTCAAGTTTGTGTTTACCAATCTATCTCTATCATTCTTGTGTCAAAGACTTGAATTGATCTTTGCATATGATTATAGTGAGTGAATAAATATAACAGCACAGGCCATGGTATATTGTGATATTGCAGCTAAGGGTTGTTGTTCTCCCGACACACAAACGCTAATGCAAGAAGGGAAGAGAGGCTGTCGTGTCTTTGGCTATAAAGCAGTTCCACCTTGTTGTACCTCGACTAAAGGGAACTAGGAGTAGAGAGACAGAGGGCAGAGTGTTTTCATCTGAGTTCACTTTGAACGCTGCAAAACGTCTCATTGGTATCTCATCATATATGACAGGCTGAGGGCTCTGGGGACACAAAAGGGTATTTCCCATATTGGATAAGTGGAAGTGAAATGTATAAAGGTTATTTGACAGGTAGAATTCTTAGGTAGTTTCTTCCCCTCCGCTACCAGCCTCTTAAACAAGGCCCGCCCCTCCACTGACACTTACCTCAGCCACAACGTAGTCCCTACAGTATATGCATTACATTAATGCACACAATGGTCATACTGCTTACTGCACATATTTCTTGTTTCACATTTCATATCCTATAATTCATTCATAGCATTCTATTTCCATGTATATGACTGCTTTATTTTATTGCTATTTAACTATATTTTATTACGGTGTCCTTAAAGACTTTTTGTTTTATATTAGATTTCTTGTTTTATATTTTAGACTGCCAAGGCACAC